CAGCAAAGTGAAGGCCAGGAAAAGAGCTTCACAGATAAGAAAAAGCTAAAGGAGTTCATCACCACCAAATCAGTATTATATGAAATGCTAAAAGGTATTCTTTAAGAAGAGGAAGAAGAAGAAAAAGGTAAAGATACAAATTATGAACAGCAAATACACATCTATCAACAAGTGAATCTGAAAATCAAGTGAATAATCTGATGAACAGAAAGAACTGCTGATTATAATAGAATCAGGGGTATAGAAAGGGAGTGGACTGACTATTTTTGTGGGGAAAGGGGTGAGGGGGATGCGTGAAGAGACTGGATAACAATCATGCACCTATGGATGAGGACAGTGGGTGGGGAGTGAGGGAGGAGGGTGGGGTGGGAACTGGGTGGAGGGGAGTTATAGGTGGGAAAGAGAGGAACAACTGTAATAACCTGAACAATAAAGATTTAATTAATCAAAAAAAAAAAATAAAGGATACTCCTGTATGCTCTGGTCATTTAAAAAAAAAGTGTCTCAGTTTTAATTCCTAATATTAATAGATACAGCCCACATAAACAAAAGCTATTAGGGTCCACAATACTTTTTAGGAGTGTGTAAGAGTGTGGAGACCAAAAAGTTGGAGACTTGCTGATATATAGAATGCTGGAAATGTGACTTTAATTTTCCTTCTGGATTGCAGTACCAGTACACAGCAGAGGAGTACCAGGCCATCCAGAGTGCTCTGAGGCAGAGGCTGGGCCCAGAATACATAAGTAGCCGCATGGCTGGGGGAGGCCAGAAGGTAGGAGAGTTTATACCTGAATAGTGGGTACCCCTAGGGCTGACTTCTCAGATGATCTTGCCAGCTCCCTCTTTGGGTCCTCATGAATTCAGAAGGTGTCTTGTTTACTGATGTTGATGTTTCCTGCTGTCTTTGGGAAGAGATGGCTTGTAGACTTCATTGTCATCAGAAGTGACCCAAGCTTTGTCTGAGACCTTTATACCTGGCATCATAGGATTTTTACGTAACCTTTAAAAATGTGTCTCTTACCATTTGTTTCTCATTTTAAGTTTTGTGTATGTTTTGGGTCTTCTGTAAAATATGACAACCTGAGATATGTGCTTTTTTGGAAACTGAGTTTTGGAAACCCCTAGGCAAGTGGATATCTTTACCCTTGAGTCTAATCCCTTCTAACTGGCTCCTTCAGGAAGGACCTTTGAAAATAAGTTCACTGAGAATTTTCCTGGAATGTTTAAGGGCAGTTTTCCCAAAAACCTGGTAAGGAATAAATGAAGTAAATTTTGTTCTACATATAAGAATGGTAAGAAATTTTAACAAGCTATTTTTTCTTTAATTTTTTCCTAGGTGTGTTACATCGAAGGCCACAGGGTAATTAATTTGGCCAATGAGATGTTTGGTTACAATGGCTGGGCACACTCTATCACACAGCAGAATGTGGGTGAGCAATGGTGACCTCTTCATTTCCCTGACTTGGCATTGTCTCACTTCTGATAAAAGTATTTTGTGGGTGAAGATGTTGGGTAGGTGTGTTTGGTTGTCAGCTGGAAGAATATGGGCGAAGCCAGGGATCCATACCTCCTCCTGCTGGTTTTCTTTCCCACTCCTAGATTTTGTTGACTTTAACAACGGGAAGTTCTACGTGGGAGTCTGTGCGTTTGTGCGAGTCCAGTTGAAGGTGAGGGTGAGGAAATAGACTTGCTGCCTCCAAGGTTTGGGGAGGGTGGTGAGAGAGAATAAGCAAGTAGGGAAGTCTCTGGGGTATGGCACAACTAAGCTGCCAGATGGGGCACAGAGCTGGGTCTTAGTCAATGTTTCTTAAGATGGATGTATTCAAACATTTTTTCCCATGTATCCCCTAAGAGAATTTTGAAAAACTCTGTTCTCTGCACATTTTTAAGTTGACACTTAAAAGTTTCACCATAAATACAAGTAGTTGCAAGAATATATTGTAAACTTTTACATTCTAAAATAAATCTGTTATATCTTTTTATAATGTACCAAATGATTCTAATTATCTAGAGTATTAGATACTACTATCCATTCAAAAGTACATGAGCAAGCTATTCTTTTACTTTTAAGCAAGCTATTCTTTAATCATAAGAAATTTTACATTGTTTCTTCTTGAACTCATATTCCCATTCTATTTCTCTGCTGGCTTTTTTCCTAATATATATTTCTCATAGGATTTTTTTTTTTTTAAGGGAGAGAGAGGAAGGGAGAGGGGTAGAGATATAGGAACCTTGATGAGAAAAAAACATTGATTGGCTGCCTCCTGCACATCCCTTACTGGAGACTGAGCCCACAACCTGGGAATTAAACCAGTGACCTCTTGGTTCATGGGTTAACACTCAAACACTGGGCCACACTGGCTGGGCTGAAACCTTTTTTTATTAATAACTTTACCATACTTCTCTGCCTCGTGTGTGTATGTGTGTGTGTATAAAATTAAAATTTTTTGGTAAATTTCCAGTGACTTGAAGGATCTAAATAATAAAATTTTTTTTCTGAATTGAGTTATTGTTATAGGTAGTATTAGCATACAATTGATCAATCAATGTTGTTTATGTGGAAAAGACAACATAACTCCCTCCAAATTTTTATACTTAATAAAAATAAAATTTTATGGAAAATGCATTTCTTGGATGGATAAAGCTGTCTTTTTTCTTTTTAGTTAGTTTATATATCCATTATTTAATGTTACTTATTCCTAGACAGAACATTCAGCCTTAATTCTATTCTGACTTTTTATTTTATAAGTAGTACTGAAAAGCCTTAGTCATATAAATAAACTGGAAATGGAAAGAGTTTTGTTATAGTATCACTCATTACGTTGAATGCTTTCTGAGTTATATTTCAAAAAATCATACATTGCTATCATCAGAAATTGTATTCAGTTCTCTGTATGCTAACAACTTGATCAGATCCATCTTCACTGGTGGTGAAGGCCAAGATGTGGATACCACATGACTTGCAAAAGGATTTGCTGTCCAATCAGTAGAGTCTGTTAAATATAATATTTAAAATTGTCCTTTTGTTAGGTGTCCAGAAGTTTTTATACCTTTAGGTAGTGCATCTTAGTGAGATTTGGGGTGGGTTGGATATGTAAAAGAGGAAGTGGGAAAGGAGAATTGTCTTAACCACAGTCACGTTTCCAAGCGGATCAGATTTAGGAAATAGTACTGGAAATTGAGTCTCTTAAACTCTCTGTGCCCATGTGCCCTTTCTCAGGGCCCTGGGTTATATGTGCCCAGTGTGAACGCTGCTGCTTGAGGA